ACCAGTCAAGTACCTTGTGTCAGTGTCTGAATGCAATCCAGTTTGCACACGCTAAAACTGCTTTTTCTTTGACCCAAATGGCACGTGTAGTACAGTTAATGAGGAGATTCACTTTTCCAAGCTGTTTGCTAACGAAGACATGCCCATCTCTTAGTTTCCTTAGTGCTAGGGCCTGATTTAAGCATTGTACTCTGCTTTGCAGAAGCACACAGTGCTAAGAGCTGCAACCAAAATCAATTGCAGCTGCTTGAATAAGCAAACAAAGTAATAAGTAATATCAAGCTTTCTGAAAAAGCTGCTCCTGAGTGTCTCAGGGCACCTAAGAATAGTGGATTCTTCTGATCTTAATCTTTGTTCTTCAAAAATATTCTTTTCCTCCTTATATCACAGAGATTTTTTTTAAATATGCTGGTGTTTTGTGCTTGAGAACTGACAGGAATTTCTGAAACTAATTCTTTTCCGTAATAGAGCTCTGGCTAGTGTTCAAAAAGTCAAGTATTGGGATATTATTGAACGTCAAGGATAAAGGACAATATTGAATGATTGCTTCTTAGTGAAGCAATTAGTAATTACTGTCATATGCTTGCATCATGTAAGCAGAAGTTTTGTGTTAAAGTAGTATATGTTGATGTAATCTAAGACTGCCATAGTGCATATACACAATAGAGAAAAGTTTTTTACAGGAAATCTTCATTTTAGCAATTCTTAATCTTTTAATACTTTGCCTTTGTCCCTTATTAATAGTCTTGTGAGGAAGAATATAGCTGGACCTAGACTTGTCTCTAAGAATCATTCTCCTAGCTGGAAGTTGAATCTGAAAAGCAGTACCAAATGTTTTATAAACGAGTTGAAAAGGACTTAAATTACATTCTCTGATTCTCTCTTGTCAGTGCTTGTAGCTGTGGTTTTTTTATGTTCTTAGCAACTGAGAGTGGTTGAAAATACTCATACACCTATATGTGAATTCACTGAAAAGCTCCAGAACTTATGAAATACGTAACATCACACAGAGTGTAGGTCCAGAAGAAAAACCTTGATGTTACTTAGTCCCACTCCTACTGCCTCTCTTCTTTTTGTCTGATTACTGACCCCTCGCACACAAGCTGTGTTTGTGGGGACCCCACCCCCATTCTCTGGGATTGCAGAAATGAAGAAGGTAGCAGCTTCAGGGGGATTCAGGTGTATGAGGGACAGAGTTGGAAATTATTTCCAGTATTTATACCTGCCAAAGAGTTGTGTTGTACGTCTTGTACTGTTCCTTCTGCCCATGAGCACCTTCTCATAGGCCCTCAGGTACCTGCACCTTAACACTTGTTCCTAAGTAGTTCACTCCCCAGTGCTCCTCCTTACTAGTTTAGGCTTGGCTTCTTGCAACTTCTTGGTTTAATGTGAGTGTACATTGCTGACGGGGAACCAGTGGTTTAACCTGACCACCTTTTTATTGCAGAGTGCTCAGTTTCACTGGGCACCATCTACTGGGCTCAGTAACTTCGGTGTAGGTTGTAAATTTTCTAGTCCAACCAGGTTACATAAGATGGATACAGATTTCTGCCTCATTGCAAATGCAGGATGGAAATAACTGTTAAATTCTTCTTTCTTTCCTCCATTATGTTTTACAGTTTTAACTTCTACATCCACCAATAACAGCAGTGCCTGACTTGGATCTTTCCCGATAGATTTTTTTTTTTTTTTTTCTTTTTTTTAAATATCTTTTGTCTTTAATCCTGTTAGCTGTTTTTATTTCATTGAAACTTTTAACTTCTCTTGTAAATTCTGGTCAATTGTAGCTTATTCGCTAACATATTTCTTCCTTTTCCTCATATGCATATGTGCGCATGCGTATGTATAGAGAATTTATATAGTTTTTATACATTACAGCTTTTTATGCACCATAAGGATGTCCTTAATTCCCAGCTTCTGTGAATACTTTTCACGTTGCATTTCTGATCATGTTCAGTTCCACTGAACTGCTTTTAAGCTTTGGCAAATTGGCCACAGCAGAGCTTCAGCTCTTCATAATATTCTTTGGTCACATACTCTGTTTACACAGAGTAAAACAACCAGAACAACCTACATAGTCACTGTTTTTTAGCTTGGTACATAATACTGCCTCATTGTGTTACAGTTACTGTGTTAACAGTTGTCGTCTATTATTTTAGAAGTCTTAAGGAAAGTTTACATGAGTTAACCAACAGACATTGCCCTGGGGGAGTAACTTGGGATAACAATTTTTCATCCAGCCAGAGAATTAAAGAACATTTCAGCCTGTTCTCTGAATGCTTGTTGGTATATAACAATTTCCATTGATACTCTGGGTTTAATTTTACTAGTCAAAGTCCTGTGAGTTGGCTGTTATTCTGTAGTCTGTAATGTTGACTGTCCTGGTTTCGGCTGGGAGAGAGTTAAATTTCTTCCTAGTGCTGTGTTTTGGATTTAGTATGAGAAGAATGTTGATAACACACTGATGTTTTTAGTTGTTGCTAAGTACCCTGCTAGTCAAGGACATTCAGCTGAAGAAAAAAAAAAAAAACACCATAAAAAAACCAAAACAAAACAAGCGCTGGGAGGGAGGACAGCTAGCCCAGGTGGCCAACGGGGTATTCCGTACTATGTGACACCGTATATGATATATATGATTGTATATGATGCTCAGTATATGAATGGTAGGCATGTTCCAGGAAGTAGCGATCGCTACTTGGTTATCGGTCAGCGCGGGTGGTGAGCAATTGCATTGTGCATCACTCATTTTGTGTATTCTATCATTATCATTATTATTTTCCCTTTTCTGTTCTATTAAACTGTCTTTATCTCAACCCACGAGTTTTTCTCACTCTTACCCTTCTGATTCTCTCCCCGTCCCACTGCGGGGGGAAGTGTGGGGGTGTGAGTGAGCAGCTGTGTGGTATTTGGCTGCCTGCCAGGTTAAACCACAACAGTCCTTTTTGGCGCCCGACGTGGGGCTCGAAGGGAGTCTTTGATCTCCCTCCCACTCTTCCTACTCTCTCTGTACTGAACAGTTGAAACCTCTAATCTTTTAATATTCCAATAAGATGTAATGCCACCTTTCACTCATACAAACCGCATTACTTCTCCGGTGTAAAAGAAGATAGACAGACTAGGGTGTGTGAAGAGAAATATAATCTGTTAAGTGCGTAAGGCAGTTTGGCATTAGTAAAGTATTAGATGGGATGTTATGTGCAGTTCTGGCAAAGCACTAAGGTAAAGAAACAGCAGGAGATAAGGAGAACAGTGAGAGTGATCAGAGATTTAGATAAGTGAGAGGAGACACAAATGCTAACAGTTTTCAAATACATAAGAAACAATTGCAGAAAGGAAGAGAAGATCTAATGTTCAACTCCATGGTGGCTAGGACTAGTAGGTTTAGCTGGTAGTAAGAGAGATACTGCCTGGGCATTTAGGAAAAAATGTGAACTGTTAAGGTAGGTAAACATAGGAATAGATCATCTTACAGTGGACCCACTAGTCCTGGAGCATAGTAGGTCCTCCAGGAACCTACACTTGTTTCCTTCAGTATCCGCTGCTGCCTTCTGCAACCCAGGTGGCAGGGATTAAGATTGTCTGAGAGGGAGCTTTTACCACCCCAGATGCTTCCCACAATTCCAAAGACTTCCAGAAATGCTAGAATTGTGCTGAGATAGTTGTAGTTAGTGTTAGTGTATTTTGTGACCACATCAAGATTATAGTGGAATTTCTCTTCCCAAACTTTGAATTGTGTTTCCGAGAACTTCAGTGGGTAATCTTACTAGCATTTGATCCCTTTCAGGGTGTGATGTATAGTCCTGTTAGAATATAAGGGCTTAGTGACATTATTTCCAAGACATTGCGGCTCATCTTGTTTGATTTTTTGCTCCTTTCTGTTTTTCTGTTACCAGTAAGTCATCTCCTCTCTGCTTCTTTCTTGAAGTTGGTCCATTCAGGTTTTTAGTTCAGTAGATTATAGCAATTTAAGAGCACCAGTTGTGAAGATAGCATTTTGATTCTGATACTCTGGTAATAGATTTCCAAAAGCAATTATTCCCAACATAGATATATGTTACAGTCATATTGTAAAATTAGTCATTTCATATAATGAAATGTGTTTTCCATTCTCTTATGAAATGATTGGAAATAGTAGGCGAGTGCAACATATAAGCCACAATAACAGACGTGCGATATTAATAAACACCTACAAATTTCTAGACTTCCTTCTATAATGGATCCTAGAAATTCATAATCACATGCACACACCCATGCACTTACCTAGAGAAATATGAGCATCCCCAGCCCCTTGCAGCACATGTGGGTTTCAGGCAGCACCCACTCTTTTGGGAGTTTGGGTGCCCTTAACTGCACATCTCTTTTGGGAGATGTGAGTGCTTTGGCTTTGCATGTGATTGTGTTATTCCCTAAAATCTGTTGTTCCCTACAATCTGCTAATCCAGAGGCCATTGAGAAAGCTCTCCACCAGGTCACATGTGCCCACCCGAACTGTGCGTCCCTGCCTGCTGCACCCCAAACTGCTATCGCACCATCTGGGGTGCGGCTACTCACGGCATCCATCAGGCCTGGACGGAGGCAGCAATGGCGGCAGGGCAATTTCTTGCACTGTCAGGCCAGGTTTTGATCATTGCTCTGTTCCACTCCAGCATCTTTTATCCCTGGTATGAATTTTCATGCTGCTTTAATATTTCTGAAGCTGATTCCTTCTTTGTTTCAGAAGTCTCTTTGTCATTCCCTGGGTACCATGTAATCCACCCGAGGGTTGCCGCCTTTAGCCCAATGAATCTGTTGGGGCAGATGCTTCTCAGACAGTTGGAGGTGTTGCATTCACTCATAATGTTTATGCTCATAATTCTGTCACACCAACTGTTGTTATCCAGGCCTTTCTGCCAAGGGTGGGTTGTGCAGGCAAGCACCACTGCAGGAATTCTTTAGGATGTTGCCTATATGTATGTGTGTGTGTGTGTACATATATGCGTATGTACACGGACCTTGTGAGCATGCCCTCATCTCAAGTGCCTGAGCTCAAAGTATGTTATATGTTGTAATATTCTGTTCACTAATGGAGTACTAGATTAGAGCCTCAGGTAATTGTATCCCTATTAACATCCTGATCAAAAACAATTTGCAGGGGTAGTTAACCGAATAGATTCTAATCTAATGGGAGAGTCTACTTGTCACAGTCATAATTAAATGCCCAAAGTAGGGTTTCTTTATGTACCTGCTACAGTAATGCCAATCATTTTGGAGAAATTCCTGAGTTTCTATATATTTCGTATGAAAACCAAGTCAGCAAGAAGATACTAAAAATAATCGTAGAATGGGTCACGTAAAAAAAAAAGTCTGAAACATTGTGATTTAATAAAACGACTGATTCACAATATATGCTTGCCATCTCTTGTGCTTCATAAATGATACAGTCATTTTTATGTAGCCCACTAGGTGGCATTTGTTACTTGGAAGTTTGTTTGCACTCAGCCCTGGGCCCTAGGATTGCAGTTTTCTCATGACATTTCTTAGATTTCCAGCCTGATTTCATCTGTAAAAACTAGTTAGTAGCTATTAGATCAGTATAAATACTCTGATATGATAATGCTATATGATTTTGGTCCTACGTGGCAAAGCAGCGTTTATATACAATAGCATTTAAGTGGCAGAGGTCTCTATTTCTACAGGTATCAGACATTCAGGCAAGAACAGCACTGCTTATGTGGTCCCCTCCATCCAGTGATACCAGAGAAGACGCTGACAAGAGTGACATACAAGATGTTTATACTTACGAAGTAATGATTTCAAATACTGGAAGAGATGGAAAGTACAAAACTGTATACGTGTAGGTGTTCATTATTTTTATTTAATTGCTGTTGCATTGAATTATGTGGTTTAAAACCTCGTTAAAAATCTGCGTGTTGTCCAGAGATTTAAGTAATCAGCAGTTTTGTGCAACTTCTCTTTTGAAACGAACTACTTTTTCAGTAGAATTGGTTCTGGTTTATTAGTGAAGTCTCTACCATCAATTAGAATGTAAAGACTTGTTCTTAGATGTTGGAAGCATGTTTTAATATCACTTAGCTGTATTTCAACCAGCTGCACTAGAAACTATGGGTTCTCAATTAGTGAGAAATACAAGTTGTTTTTGTAGCTATTTACTTCAGCACATGCTTCTGCTCCCAGAAGAACGTTATCCCTCCCTTCCCTGAAAATGCTCTTGGTTAGAGACAGTCTTAAGATACGAAATAAAGTAAGTAGCTTCACACAGAACACAATTCTAGCAGTAGCAAAAGAAACAAAACTCTTCAATTGTTTCATTCCTAATACAATGGTTTTCAATCGGATTTTTGCAACTTGGAGAAATATAACAGAAAATTTACCATTAAGGGTGTAGAGCTCTCTTATAATTATAAATCTTTGTATTTAGCTAGTTTGTCTTAGTCATCTTCCATGGATTTCTTAGAAGCAGTACATGAATCGTAAGTTGGATATCCCTGTCCTAGAAGCTTAGAGGAGAAGAAGTGAGCTTTGCTTACATAAGCTGATGTCAGTAAAAGCAGACTAATAGATGTCACTGAGGTGCCTTTTCTGTTTACTGGGCTCTAACAAGTAGGTGTATGCAGTCATTCAGAGTTTTAGATAATTGTTTTTGCAAGGCTGAACTGAGCTTCTTAAGGGCCCCAGTACTTCGATGTTTTTTGTAATAAAATACATGCGTACACATGCAGCTGATCTTACTGAGTAAAGAGGAAAATAATTATTTTAAAAAAAAAAAACCAAACAAACAGAACAACAAAAAAACCCCAAAACCACCAGGGCAAAACAACAGGAATCAAATGCGAGAAGCCCCTAAAATTCAAAGATAAATGCATTTTCATTTTACTATATTTAGCAACAGAAACAAAATGTTAGCAAATATATTTCTTAGAAGGAGTGTTAGGTGGATGGGTTAGATGATGTGTGTCTTCTTATGAGTGTATGGGATTCTGAAACAGTCTCTTAAATCAAATCATATCTCTTTCCAGTGGAGAAGAAAATAAAGTTACTGTAAATGATCTCAGGCCAGCAACTGATTACCATGCAAAGTGAGTATCTCCTTCTCTATTCATTGAATTCAGTGGAAATGTTTTAAAAGTTTCATTGGATCTGTATATTTGCATAAGCCTTCAAAGATTCTTTACCACATCTCACCCTCCTTTGAGTCACAAATCAACATTTTTGGCTTAGCTGACCACTTAGTCCATTTTAGAAAACAGAAAGTTGTTGTGCCCTCATCAAACATCCATGCTCTTTACTTCTCATGTCATGCCAGAACAGTGACATTTTTCTGTCCTTTGAGCCAGGCACAAATGCTACTTGCTTTCTGTTTCCCAGAGGAAGCAGAGGGAGGTACTTTGCACAGGAACATGCTCACTGCTGGCCACCTGAAGGTCAGGTTATGCTGCTTTTGCTTTGCTCCAGCAGACCAGTGAATCTGACTCTGTATGCATTACTAAATATGCCCCTAGCTCAATGTAATTCTAGCCTTCTAGAAAAATTTGCTGCTTCGCTGTGTCCTACTGAAGAAATAGCATAGGATTGAAAAGATGTAGTTAGGTGTTCTTCTTCCCTCCTTTTTTACATATGGGAGGGTTGTCTTATTTCTTGGTTTAAAAAAAACAGTATGAATACAGCAGTCTATAAATACATAAAATTGTGAAGGCAGAAGTGAAGGCCACCTTAAAAGTGCTGCCTTTTCAAGAAATAACTGCAAGTGGAGAGTGCAACTTCAGAAGTGACTGAATGTGCAGCATGTGAGTGATTTGCCTCTCTTGACTGCGTGGAGAACCCCAAGACTCCTGTGTACTGACCAGGGAACCAATTTAGAGACAGCTGGTAGGAAGCACAGGGAACAGAAGTGTGTCTGAGTAAGGATCCAAGTCAGAAATGTTGTGCCTCTTTCTCCATGAGCTTTAGAACATCAGCAATAGGGAGGAGGAGGATTTCTGTTGTGTAAGTCTTTTGATAAGCATTTGCTCAAATGAGAGAGCTACATTCCTGGTACTCGGTGTGAGGGGGTCTGTACCTCCTAATACTGTTTTCCAGGGTATTGTCCTGGTTGCCAAACCGGAAGCAAAAGAGGGTTGGTCTGTTCTTCATCACGCACCTCATTTAATTTGGGCCACTGTATAGCCTGCAGCACAGGTTCAGGAGAAGGATGAATGATAAATTGACTCAAAGCTCTTGATATGCAAGTGTTTTCACTGATTTTGTTCCTGGTTTTAGTAGTGTTTATGTTTAAATTGAAAATGCATGGAGCATAAGGGTCAGAGCCTAGGAATTCTTTTTCCTATATAAGTCCCTTTTTTATCAGGCTACATTCAGATTCTTTCTTACTTAATTCCAGTCATTTTAGAGAATGCATGGTAATAGATGACTTAGCCATCTAAGCTTTTCCTGAACTAGGAGTTAAACAGAATTCTGCCAGTGTGAACACTGCCCAAAATCAGTGAAGACCAGAAAGATTGAACTGTTAAGATAACTGACAAGTTACATATTTGCAACTGTATGCAAGCACAAACAACTTTGTGTGCAGCATTAGTCACGGTTCAAATGTCTTCCTCTCCCTGTTCATGAAATCTACAAAGCCAAATTTCCTGTGACTAGCTGTTCATGCAACAAGAACATGTAAGGACTTTTGCATCTTCATAAGCAGGCAACACAGGTCTTTTACCAGTGATCAGAGGAAAGGTTTTTGGGGGGGGTTCTTTTTTCTTTCAAAGGAACAGGTCAATCAGAAGAAAGTAATGTGCAGTTCACGCAAGGAGGAGACAAGGCATAGCTACACAGCTGAGGGGGGTAGGGGAGAGAGCACAGGGGGAAGCCGGATAATAATCCTGTACTTAATTTTGGATAAAAGCTCTTAGAAAAACAAACCATTTCTCTTTGAGGCAGAAGCAAGAATTCACTCTTCTGAAGTACATGGAGAGTTAATTCATAGCCTTCCTGAAGGAAAAGACAGGGTGAACAGACTCGGCAGGGTCTTGAAGGAATGCGGAAGGTACTCTGAAAATACATCAGCAGCTTCATTGTGCTCATCTGACAAAAGCACTTGCAGAAGAAGAATTGTTCATAATATCAATTAATATATCTACAACAGATAATGAGCCTGCAAGATGTTACCATTATTTCCCAACCGAAGTGCAGCACATAACAGACAGATTTTAAATGTACTTGTGAGACTAAAGCTGACTGACTGTAACAATGTACATCCAAAGTAAAGGACTCTTTTCTTTCACATTACTTCTATTGACCAAGATGCTTCCACCAGTTACTTATTTATAACAGTGATATTTTAATAATGGGGTAGCAAGGCAGTAACTTAATTCTGAATACTCAGTTTTCTTTGGAAACTGTATATACAGATTTTGAAGCAAAATTTTCCACTTTAGAGTCCAAGTAGAATGCAACTGTGTAAAGGGGAGCCCTTCAGAAACAGAGAGTTTTACCACAACGAGTTGTGAACCTGATACTCCAAATCTGCCCAGGATAACTAATCGGACCAAAAATTCTCTTACTCTGCAGTGGAAGGTAAGGGTTGTTTAAAAACCTTTAAAATAAATATTTTAAACTCTTCAGAATTGTTTCGGATTTGTCAATAAAATGCCAGTTCATTGAAACGGAAAATTTTTGTCAAACGTACTAATTTCATTCACAATTCCTTGGCTGGAAATACATGTACTGGGTTAGATGTGTACTTCAGTAAAAAGAGAAGGATTCCCGGAAGAGCAAGGAGCCTTTGTAGATAAAGTTACTGAGTTCGAATGAGAGACAGTGGTTCGAGTTCCAGTCCCCTGCTGTACTGTGGAACCAATTCCTTTCTCTGTTATTGAACATAGACTTGTTTGTGCAAAGCAAATGAAGTGATCTAGAAAGACTGAGATTTGAGCAGACCTCCAGTCTAGCTGCTCAGAAAAATACTGTAGCATTTTACACTGCTGCCAGAATACTTTTTCAAGGTCTAAATTAAAAAAATAAAACCATAAACATGATACAAGCATTCATTGGATGGAGACTGAACTAGGACTGTTTTGACTGTTTTGGCAAGTGGAACAATCATACAAGGGGAGCATCATTTGCCCTCCACTGGTCTTTTCATGATTTGACCTATACAAGCACTTTTTTCCTTAAGTGGTCTTGTATCCAGTTAGAGCTTGTGCTGGTTTTGGCTGGGATAGAGTTAATTTTGTTCGTAGAAGCTGGTATGGGGCTATGTTTTGGATTTGTGCTGAAAACAGTGTTGATAATATAGAGATGTTTTCATTATGGCTGAGAAGTGCTTACACAGAGTCAAAACATAGTCTAATTTTCTTCTTTTCCTGTTGCAGGCTTCTTGTGATAATGGTTCTAAAATCCACAGTTACCTTTTAGAATGGGATGAAGTAAGCAAGTTATTCTATTTTATTTTTAATTTTGTAGTTTTTTAAAAAGTAGTATGTGACTGTGCACATCAAGATGTGTGAAAATTATGACTTCCGTCTAGAGGCATGTGACAAATATGTAATTCCTGAAGCAATTATGAAAAAATATGGTTATTGCCCAAATTTTTTCTTGGTGAATATAAAACAATAGGATCTTAATTACATGATTCTGCCACTCTTAATAGTGGCTTTTTCACTGGTAGTCCAATACTTCTTTCAAGAGCTGACACTGAAGGATCATTTTCCTGTAACAGTCTTTCTTTTGTCCAAAGGGGGTGGATCTACTATGCCCCCGCAAGCATCTTCCAGTCCCTACCTGGACAGCTATCCTGAGATGGTAGAGCTGCAGAAGCTTCTTGGCTTTTTCCTTCCAACCCTGTGGAGCTGGGAAATGGAAAGGAAGGAGAAAAGCCTCTAATTCAATATATATACAAAGTTTCATATACTACTACCTCACTATATGGGAGATTCTTGAGTTATGTTTCATTTCAAAAAATGAGTTTACTTCACGTTTGTGTGTTACTTTAATTGATGGATGCGTATATAATAGGGTGAATAATGTGATTAACTTATTCCTTTTTAGGGAAAAGGAAATGGAGAGTTTTGCCAGTGTTATTATGGCCAACAGAAGCAGTATAGGATTACTAAACTATCACCAGCAATGGGGTACACGTTTAGGCTAGCAGCCAAAAATGACATGGGAATGAGGTAAATATTACTATTATATACGTAAATATGGAATGCATATGCATGCATGTGTGTGCTTGTTTAGGAAAAACATATGATGGCATTTAAAGAAACAAGTCTTTTGTTCAGCTGGGATGAAGCAGAATATAGAACAGTTCAGTTGGAAGGGACCTACAATGATCATCTAGTCCAACTGCATACTTAATTCATGGTATGTGATTGGATTATTCCCTTTGCAGATTACCTGTGTACTGTGAACCACTTGACCCTGCTTAAGCAGGGGAGGTTGGACAAGATGACCTTCAGAGATCCCTTCCAACCTCAGCTATTCTGTGATTCCCAGCATAATGCGTTTTGTCCAGGCATGGTATGGCTACATACCACTACATTATGTGCATACTTACCATATAAATGCTGCAAATCTCAGCCCCTCTTGGAAGCAGATAGTACAGCTACTTCTGCCAGACTTAGCCTCGTTTCCTGAACAGCCTGCTCAGACATTTGTACACGATGCCCCTAGAATGGGGAGCACGAGCATAGCACAGACAACCCGGCTGCTGTCACGTGAAATCAGCTCAGGCTGTGCTGGTTTTTAGCTTCAGTCTTCGTAGACCTAGGCTAATCACTGAAGTTGCTACCTGGGACGTGTTTCCTACTTGTAATAGAATTTTTGGCTAAGCACTACATTGTAGAGACTCACACATGCAGTGCAATTGTGGCTTTTGCGTCTGATGTAATAAACAGTTCTGCTAAAATTCTGTGGACCATGCTAAAAGATAAGCAACTCAGCCAAAGGACCAGAATTGAATAGTTTAAATGCTGCAGTGCTTGTGCTGCTGCTGTGCTGACCAGAGGGTACCTCCTACCATGCTCTCTGCTGCTCTTGGTTCCAGGGAGGTTTGACATAGTGCTAGATCTAAGGTAGATCCTGAAGCTGATGTAGCAATTTTCCAGGGCTTATCAGCCCTCCTTAAATTTAGAGTTTTAATGATGACACTATAAAAAGGTGTCAGTAACTCTGCTGGAGCAGGAAGTAAGTCTGGCAGAACCCCCAGTGCTACCTGTAGGTGTATCTGTATTGTGCTCTTGGCCGTGTCCCGTTATTCGGCTATGTCCCTTTATCTAAGGTGTCTGCTAGTCTCCTGTTACGCTGGGAAATGGACAGAATATGACATTACCATATCGCTGAATTCTTTTGAAGTTCTAGAGCTTATTATGAATGCTTAGGATATGTGATTCTTACTTTTAATTGCTACTTTTCAGAAGTTATAGAGCACCAAACTTTGTTTTGAATTTTTGAATGAATGACATCTGACTTCAGTAGAGAATATAAGTAAGAACTTGGAAAAAACCACCAAAATTACTGATTTCTCAAGCTATGCTTGCACTGCTGGGTGCGATAGTTCTTGAGAATGCTTCTTGGTCTTCAGGCAAAACGAATAAACCTGGCTAATAGTCACATTACCAGGGCTCATCATCTCTAGAGCAGACTGCTAGGGTCCACACTACCTAGTAGTGGTTGGACCTTGAGGTCCTATGTGGCATAAAAACAGGGCCTCTCTAGCCATCAGCCTAAAATTGCTATTTTGCATTTGGTTTTTTAATTCATTGTTTGAAATATTATAAGTATTGTGCTGCAGCTCACCAGAGTGGTGTTTTTATAGCATGAAATAAAGGATGTGTGTTGTGTGTCCTTCAGCTGGTACAAGGAGGTGCTTGAGGGAACAATGCCTGCTTGGATAGTGTTGAAGGACAGACCTGGGGTTGTAATTCATGCTGGGCAGAAGAAATCTTCTGCAGACTATTAAGTATGTGAAAACTACAGCTGGCTCAGGAGATCTGAGGCGTGTGTTGGGGGGGCTTTGGAGAGTACTCAGGGAATGCGTGGCATATAGTGCCTGCTCCGATGTCTTTCCTTAGGCACCTGCTCTGGGCCACTGTCAGAGGACACTATAGTGGGCTAGAATGACTTTTGGTGTACTCTGACAGAGTCTTTATTACGTTACTGCCTTCTGGATGATGTTTCTGGAATGAATTATTCTCTGAGTTGCTCCTAGACTTTGTCTTGATGAGATTTAGTTGGAACTGTTCCAAAAAATAAAGATGGGGAGTAAGCTGGCAATTAAGCAGGGTCCAGTGCTCAGGCTGTCTTCCTGTTCCCCTTTTACGTGTGAGTGTAGATGTGCCCTCTAGGAATACCTGCACATATTACAGATTCCTGCAGCGTAAGCTGGTAGAAGACACTGATCAGTTAAGTACCCTTCTTAAACTGATCACACTGAATAGATTTTTACATCAATATTTCATAGCCTTGTAAAGATGCACTTTATTGTCTTTATGGTATTATTTAATTAAGAAGTCTCTTGAAATAATATGAGAGTGGAGTGCCTGATTGTTCCTTATGAAGAATGTTGAGAACCTTAGGCACCTGGAGACAGAATTTTGTCTAAATTATTTTGCCAATAAGAACAGATATTTTATCTTTGAGTTACTCATATTTTTAAATTTAATTCTAACCACACATGAAACAGTGGCTAAAGAAAACTGGAAAAATAAAATCTATTTAAAAGATAGATAGCATTATTGTACTTTTAAGTGAATTGTTTAAGAGTCATTCAAATGTGGGTATCACTGGAACTCTTTTAGTTGATTTCAGTGTATTTTGGAGGGGTTCAATCAAGTAAAGAGGTTAAATCTTTTTAAGGTGTGGGGTTTTTTACGTTATATCTGTTTGTAAGGTGACTCCTTCAATAGTTTGTTGTGAATAGAGATAGGCTTAGTATTTGTCTAGCCTCTCTTCATGCTTTCTCTAGCCTACCTATATAATGCTGAAATTTTTTTTAGTAGCTATATTGTAAGTATCACATCATCTCCATTTTAGAGATTTTCTTGCTTGTGACTTTTTGCAAGAAAAAGATTACTATTCCCCCCCAATTTAAAAAGTTTTCTCTTGTTTCGCACTTTTTCACTTCTTGCTTCACAATCTGTTTCACAGTCTGCATGTCCACACAGACTGTACGTCCGCTTTGGGTGCTATCAACACTCTTGATAATGTGTTGTCTCTAAGATTTTTTTTTTTTAATTTTTTTTTTTTTTTAATGTCAAAAAGACTTTAGAGCAGACCAAAATTTACAGCTTGTGCATTATTATAATGTAGGTTGGGTAAGAGAGAAGGTGAAGTTAGGTATCTTTATCTTGAGATTTTTCAGGAAAGTCAGGTTCCAACACACAAGATATGTAACTGGTACTGTTGTTTAAGCCATATGGAGAATTTTCTTTTCAGGGCTTCCTGATGCTTACTGAGGTAATGCCTAGCTTTTAGATTAAAATTACATCTTTGACATTAGTTTCATATGGTTAGAAAAACTAGACTAGCTCTTAAGCCAGTAAATGTTTTTTCAGTTCTGATGTAGAAGCAGCAAATGCCAGCTGAGAACAGGTGGGGTTTTTTTAGTCTAGCTGGATACGTGTCAGACCATCTGTGCAAGCATAGTATCCGTTCACTGACTTTTGCATCCTTCTGTTTCACAATAGGCCTTTTTATGTAATTTATTTGTATTTTCACTTCAAGGTGTACCTAAGCATCATCAGATAAGGTTAACAGTTGAGTTAGGCGATTCTGTACACTCTACTTCATTTGTTCTACAATAAGACTTTCATATTGGCGACTCTTAAAGTAACATTGAATGAGGCTATTATTCTGTTATTTTCTGAATCACTAGAGAAACTAGTACTTCACAGTATACTTGAAGCACATAATTGCTGCCTGGGAAGCAAAATTTTTTTTGAGGTCTTTCCATATATGCTTTTATGTCTTCATGTTTTCATTTTGAATAGGAAGGACACTGTGGTATTAGTACGTTATTGCGTATAGAGCTCTACTGTTTTAGAATAATGACTTAATATGAAAAAGCAAAACGTTTTGGTTAGCAAAACATTGTAATTATATCATACAAAGGAATCTTTCAATTATGAGCATGTTAACCTTGTTCAGATGTTTTGTTACTGACAGACTCATGGGCAAGTTAAGTCGTCTGCATGTACCAGCTTGCAATTCCCAGTTGTGCACATGTCCAAGAAACTGTCATAGCTGTGTTTAGTAAGAATTATGTTTTTCTAGTATTAATTGTTGTGTCTAGCTAGTTTACATACTGTCTGTTTTAAACAGTGGTTATAGTGAAGAAGTCCTGTATCATACCTCAGGCACTGCCCCAACCACACCAGCAAGTCCTTTGCTGATTAATGCTGGAGTTACTTGGTTATCCCTACAGTGGACAAAACCCTCAGGAACACCATCAGATGAAGGAATCTCGTATATATTAGAGATGGAGGATGAGAACTCAGTAAGTTTAGAATACTTATTTTCAATAAGAAAAGAGACTATAATTTGTGTGTTTGATACATTATTGTATTAAGTGTAACTTAATGATTACTTTTACTAGAATATTCTACAAGGAACTGTATTTTCTGAAATTAAGCTAATGACTTGCAATTGTTGTGATCAAGCCACATAGCTTTCTCCTTTTTATTGTGACAGTAATCATTATTAGTAAGCCCCAATCCTGCAAAGACTTTTAAATTACTTTTAACTTTGTGAATTTGCATGTGAAAGTTAAGCCTTATAAGAGCTGGATCAAAGTAATTGTATCATGAAGTGTGGTTCCTCTAGATGTCATTTCAGCCTAACCACCTTTGTTGTAAAATGAGTCCTGTTCTACCCTTTGAAAGTGTTAGGTATAATTTCTGTTGACACTGTGTATGTTTTTCTTTACTGTTCTTTTCTCCTCTTCTGATTGGAGAATGGTTAATTAATTTCCCCCTCTACAGAAAAATATCTTGTGTTTACACAATGAAGGTGCACATAATACAGTTACGGTCTGAAACAGTAATTTATTTGTGTGAAGTGTGTTACATAGTCTGGTCTGCAAATATAATGTTTCAAGTAATCCTATTTAATTCTGCAGGGATATGGTTTCAAGCCAAAATATGATGGTGACGATCTTACCTACACGGTGAAGAATTTGAGGCGTAGTACGAAATATAAATTTAGGGTAAGATTTTTTTCATATCTTTGGTTTTTTTTATTTGCACCAGAATAGCTTGAGTTTGACTCAGAAGTGGGGATGGCCTTTTTTAAGGAAAACCAAATTTGATGCCAGTTTCTTACAATTTCAGTCTCTTAAAACTGTCAGTGAACACCTGCTTCATTAATCATCTCTGCAGAAGGAATAAGAACCTCTGCAAGGGCATAACACAGTTGCAGGTATCTTGAAATTCCAGGTCGTAAGTCAGTGTTCTTAACAGTTGGGTTTTTTTATTTGGCTTCTGTGTTGCACATACACAGGTAATATTACTTAGTGTAGCTATGGGGTTCTTTGATAGACTCTAAACAGATCTGAAAGTGTTGGGGTAAGGAGCAACTTTGATCGAAAAAACATTTATCAGTGCTAGCATAGCACTGAGCCCAAGTTAGTAAATCATTCATGTTACCATGGTGCTGAGCCCATTTTAAGGAGTCTTTAGGGCTGAACTTGTTAGCTCAGGATGAAGTCTGGCTTAACAATGGCTTAACAATGAGCTTTTGGTTGTTGTTAAATGCAAAAAAGAAGCATACTAGCTATGGGAAGGCGGCCAAATAACCATCGAGGACTACAAGAACCTTGCTAGGACATGCAGAGATGCGGTCAGGAAGGCTGAGGATCAGCTAGAACTGAAATTGGCCAAAGATGTCAAGAACAACAACAAAGGTTTCTTGAGATGCGTGAGCAGTAAGCAGAAGCACAGGGAAGACGTACTTAGGCCCATTGCTAAACAGGGCAGGGAAGCAAGTTACTAATAATGCCAATAAGCAGAGGTTCTCAATATCTTCTTTGCCTTTACTGGCATAGCTGGACCCCCAATCACAGGCTCAAGTAGCTATGACAAGGCATGTGTCGACCCACCAGTGGTGTAGGAAGGGCTGGAACGTGGCCTCTTGCAAGGGCTTAACCCACATCAATCTATGGGCTAGGACAGAATCCACTCCATGATGTTAAGAGAAGTGGCTGACATTGTTGCAAGGCCACTATCTATAATACTTGAGAAGTGATGGAGATCAGGGGGTATCCCTGACAACTGGAAGAGGGCAAATGTCATACCCATCTACAAGAAGGGCCCAAAAACGGACCCAGGGAACTACAGGCCCATTAGTCTTACTTCAGTTCCTGGGAAAGTGATGGAAGAGTCCTCCTAGAAACTATTATAAGCCAAATGAAGCAGGTGATTGGGAAAAGCCTACACCAAAGGCAAATCATGCCCAACTAGCCTGATCACCTTCTACATCAAAGTAACACTTCCAGTTGGCCTGGGGAGAGCAGTGGATGTTGTTTACCTGGGCATTCAACACTGTTTCCCACAGCCTTCTCCTGGACAAACTGGCAAGATACAGACTGGATGGCTGGTCTGTGAAATGAGTAGAAAACTGGCCGACAGGCCACACTCAGCAGGTGGTGATCAGTGGTTTTTACTCAGGCTGGCAGCCTGTCAGAAGTAGGATCCCCTAGGGATCGATATGGGGCTCCACACTGTTATCTTCACAAATGATATAGACGATGGGATTGAAAGCACCCTCACCAAGTTTGCTGGTGACACCAAACTGAGTGATGAGATGAACACATCAGAAGGAAGAGATATGGACAGGCTAGAAGAGTGGGCTAGCAAGAACAATATGAAGTTTAACAAAGAGAAGTGCCAAGTCCTGCACCTGGGTCGGAATAACAAAGGAGCCCTTTTTTAGGCTAGAAGCAGCCTTGCTGAAAGGGACCTGGGGGTCCTGGTAGACAAACTGACTATGAGCAGTGCAACACTGCAGCAACAAAGGCAAATTGGATCCCGGGCTGCATCCGCAGGGGCATTGCTAGCAGAGATAAGAGGTGTGATCATCCCACTGTATTCAGCTCTTGTCAGGCGGCACCTGGAGTACTGTGTCCAGTTCTGATCCCCACAATTCAAAAAGACACAGGCAGACTGGAGAGAGTCCAAAGGAGGGCCACGAATATGATCAAAGGGCTGGAGAACCTGCCCTATAAGGAAAGACCAAAGGAATTACATCTTTTCTCCCTGGAGAAGAAAAGGCTCAAGGGGACCTTATCACAGTTTTCCAGTACTTAAAGGATGGCTACAAAGAGGAGGGACGCTCTCTCTTCACAAGGAGCCACATGGAGAGGACAAGGGGCAATAGGTGCAAGATGCACTGGGAGAGGTTTCATCTTGGTATAAGAAAGAAATTTTTCATAGTGAGAACAATCAATCACTTGAACAACCTCCCCAGGGCCGTGGTGGAATCCCCCATCACTGGATGCTTTCAAGACACGACTGGACAGGGTGCTAGATAATCTCATCTAGGCTCCCTTTTCCCTGAAAGGCTGGACCAGATGATCTTTCAGGTCCCTTCCAACCTGGGCTGTTCTATGTTCTAGGTCACTCTTGAACAGTTGCTTGGTTTTTGGAACAAAGCTAAAGGCATGTCCCACAGTATGAAACAGAGTCAGAATAATCTCATCTCTGTCTACATGGGAAAAAAATGTCGATAGCCGTTGTCTTGCATACACCTGAAGTATTATTTCATTAGGAAGAATTGGGAACTGCTGAAGAACAGCATCTCTTTGCAATATGAAAGGTAGCAGTTTAGGGGTGGTTGGTTTGTTTGAGTTAACACTAAAACATGTAAGTACTCCTTTCCAAATGGTAGCAGATACTTTGCACTTCTGAATATGATTGCTTCCTTAAGCAGAAAAGGTTGTGATGGGGATTAATCTTACAGTAGTTGGGTTTTTTAACATAACTTAATATTAAAATAATATAAAATATACAGTGTATTTCAAGGACTGCACAAAGCTAGGACTGTTATGGCCACACATGAGCTTAAACTAAAGAACAGCTAATTACTTTGAAACTAGCTTTTGTAGGACTTGATCATAGTCTTCCTTTGAAAGTAATCCTACATGTTAATCATACGCATTACTGGTAAATATATAGTTAACTTAACCATCCTAAGTTTCTCATTAAAATAAAAGTCAATGTTTATACCCTATTTTTCTTAGCAAAACAGTAAACAGAAGTCTCTGTTCACTCATTCACAGGGCATAAAGGAGGAACAAATGTTGTGTTACTAATTTTTATTAAGTGGAAAGACTTGATTAGTAGTAATATTCCTTAAGGCTTTTGAAAGAAGCTTTATAACAATTGGAAACCTTATTATAATACGTAAATGCTAACTGTGCCTGTTTAACTTCATTTGTAAGGGCACAAAGACAACCAAATGATTGTTAATCTTGTAAACTGTATCAGGAGACTTAGTGTCTGAGAGACATATTAGCTCACATTTCCTTTTCTCAATCTGTACTAACATGACTGCTGTCCTTTCAATACTGCTAATTTTTAAAACAAATATAAAAGCCAAAAAACCTTTTTTTAGGTTGTTTAGTTTTTTGCTAGGAACAAATGGGAATATGTAGTAAACTAACAGTGGACACAGCTAGAAAGTAAAGAATAGCAACAATTTGTTTTCCTAGAATCGCAGAAAAGTCTAAGTTGGAAGGGAGTTTTGGGGATCATCTGAGTCAAACTTGTGTAGAAAGTAGGCCCTTAGGTTAGGCTATTCAACCCTGTTCTAGCCCTGTTGAGCTGAGACTTCAGTATTTCCAGCAAGAGAGATCTGAACACTTCTCTGGGCAGCCTGTTCTCATGGTGATTAATTTCTTTTCTTACATCCAGCTAGAATTTTCCCTAACACGCTTTGTGCCCACTGTCTCTTCTCCTGTCATCACAGATCCTTGTGAAGACAGTATCTTCACCTCTTCTGTGACTACCTTTTAAGTATTGGAAGGCTGTGATTAGATCCCCCCCAGTGAATCTTCTTTTTTCTTAGGCAGAATAAACCCAAGTTCTTCAACCTTTCTTCCTGTGTCAGGTTCTCCAACCCTCTAATCATCATGCTGGCCCTTTTCTGGACTCTCTCCAGTTTCCCAGTGTCTCTCTTGAACTGGGAGGACCAAAACTGGACACGGTATTCCAGGCGTGGTCTAAGAAGTGCTGAGTAAAGTGGTGTAATCACATCCCTTGTGCTGCTGGCTAAATTCTTGCTGATGCAGCCCATGAAACAATTTGCCTTTGCTACTGCCAAGATGCTTTGCTGATTCGTTTGGCTTGCTCTCCACCAGAATCCCAAGGTCCTTCTCAGCAGAGCTGAAAGAAGGAAAGCTGTCTAGCCAGTCAGACCCCAGACTGTACTGCTGCTGGGATTATTTGATCCCCAGTGCAAGACTTTATACTTATCTTTGTCAAAGCTCATACAGTTCTTGTTGATGCAATCTTCCTGCCTGTCAAAGTCTGTATGGTGGCTTTTCCTTCCAGCATATCTCTCTCTGCTCCTAGTTTGGTGTCATATGCAAACCTGGGGAGGGTGCATCCGCTCCTGTCATCCAGATCACTTCTGAAGATGTTGAATAGTATCTGACATTGTATTGACTGCTGAGGAAATCCACTCATGAGCAGCTGCTAATTTGCCTTCGAACCATTAACGACCATCCTTTGAGCCTGGCATTCTATCAGGTTTTCCACACCCATCTTGTGGTCCATGTGTTCTGTCTACATCTTACCAGCTTGTCTACATGGATGTTGTGGGAGACTATGTCAAACTAAAATCAGGGTAGATGATGTCCACAGCTCTCCCCTCATCGATTGAGCAAGTTGTTTCATCATAGAAGGCACTCAGGTTGGTCAAACATGATTTATCTTTGATAAATCTAATTACCACCTTGTCTTTCATGTGCCTGTAAATAACTTCCATGACAACCTTTGCCACAATTTTCCCTGGGACTGAAGAGGTTTTATCACTTTTGCTGTTGTTAATACAACTTACTCATATAAACACTTTTTAATCTCTGAATGTATTTCCTTAAAAGAAGGTATTATAGTAGCATGAAAGCTCTACTTAATTCATCCCAATTATTCAGGTTTCTTTAGCAATTAGTAAAGCATCACTTTTTGCTCCTTACTAATTACATGAAAATATTTTTCCTCAATGGGAAGGGAATTGCAATTAAAATTTTAATACTTCCAAGTTCCTTCAGTGAAAGTTTAAAAGTGGCCTCTTTGCAGTATGTCTTTTTCATTGTCTTTTGTTTCCATGCTTTTATAAAGGTTTTTTCTCATATTATCAATAAATTGCACAACTCCGATAAAAAAGAGTTGTTCTTAGACCTATCTAATTTCTGACTATCTTAGATGGTTTTAAAAAAACCAAGTTTTCAGATCCTTGACTTGAAGTGGCTTGTGCTATGTTGAGCACCCACAGATGCCACTAATGTCACTGAGATTTCCATGTCCTGGTTACTTTTTACTGTAAGGCAACTCTTAAATGTCCTAAGTAGAAGCCTAACTTTATGCACCAGCATTTGAAATTTGGGGGATATGGAAGGTTATTTGATTTGTGAATTTTTTTTTTTTTTCATTATTACCGGTTTTTTTCAGCTTCACAATTACTAGTTGGGGGTTTTTTTAAGGATTTTTTTTTTCTGGCAATTTGCAGGAATTTTTAATTTCAGTATAGTGATTGTCTAACTATAGGACTAATGCAAATGTAAAATGAAGATATATAATAGCTTTAGTTCTTGTGATAATTTATTGTGTAGCTATCTGTCTAAGCATACATATAAATTAATTTGACCTTACCATTAACAGTGAATAGCATACTACTAGCCAGTGCGTTTGTTCTGTTTGTAATATTTTTTATATATTTGCAGGTCATTGCCTATAACTCAGAAGGGAAAAGCAGTCCAAGTGAGACAGTAGAATACATTACTTGTCCAGACAAGCCTGGAGTACCTTCAAAACCCGCAGTGAAAGGAAAAATTCACGCACAGAGTTTTAAAATAATCTGGGGTAAGATTGTTGTCCAGCTCTGTTTAGAGTATGTCCTCTGTATTTTAT